GCATGGCTAAAAAGACCTCTGGTCCTACGCAGCCTTGACATTGATATATGTGCACACCTTCCTGACAGACAAAAAGTGACCTCATCCTCCAGCTACACAGCTACAACAGAAATGTTTGCTGGTAGCAGTCCACTGTTACACTGTTGTCGAGGTCTACTGGAAATAGTAACAGTGCTTTATCGCCGCTCTTTAGTGAAGGTTTTGGTAAGCGTTCATATTTTAGGAGCAAGTGTTTATAGCAAGTGTTACTAGAGAAAAAAAGGCTGTATCTAGTACAGCATCCATTCCCAGCTTTCCCCTTGTTTTCAAGAGGAGAAATGCCCCCCAAATTTTGCCACTCAGCATTGACTGAAGGACAACAGTTATCACTCTTACAGCAGTGCTTCTAGGTTTAGCTTCATCAGGTCATATCCAGGTCCAGATACTTACTGATATTATGAAGGTACAGAACATAGGCAAGAGTTCACTGCGCTGTGCAAGTTAACAGGGGAAAATGGGGGAGAAGACAATAATAGGCTAATACCACTGATTGCCTTATTTTTTTCTCTTCTCTCAAAATAGCCATGAATATGTTGGCCTATTCAATCAGATCAGGAAGAGGATGAGAAGCCTGACAATCTTATGAAAACTCTCAGAGGAGCCAGAAAACTAGCGGAAGGAAAGGTAGTCAAAACTCATCGTACATGGCCACTGATAAATGCGCACACAGCTTCAGAGCTAGGTAGAACAGCACTCTTCTTTTTGCACAAGCTGTCAGAGATTGCAGGAAACCTCCAGTACGTTCCTAAGATGGCATACTGTGGAAGTAGTATTCCCCGCCTGTATTAGTGTAACAATGTCCCCTTAAGCATCACCAAGAGGGTAAGAACATTAGACGTCAGTATTATGTTTGATCTCCATGTGACCACAGCACAGCTGTTGTTAAGCCTGAGTTGTCATAGTGGAGAGATCAGGCAGGTAGAAGGAACAAGCCCAGAGGAAGCCATAACCAGTCTTACTGACAAGTCAAAGACAGCAGTTAACATGATGAGTCTTATCCCACTGGCAAGCAAAAGCTCACATATTTCCTACGAAATGCTGTGCACATATCAGGGAAATGATCAGTCACTCCTATCCACATTTAAATAGCCTTGTTTTTCTTAATTCAGCAGTGAAAAGCACATGAAAGCTGATTTGTCCTTATACCTCGAAGTCAAACACCGGGGAAGCCTCAAACCTTGCTTCCAATGTGGTATCTTTTTAAGAGGAGATTTAATTGCACTGTACCATAAGACCTATTACTAGACTACTATGTACTTTCGAGTCCATTTTTAATTGCATCATTTCCTCATGTCTGAGGAAGAAAAGCTTGCCTAACGTTAAGGCCCATTTGCAGAAGCATCATCATGGGGGTTATTCTTCCTACTAGACCAGGAAAAGCACTTGAGCCTTCACTCCTTCTTTGCCCCCTCCAGGAAATGGCGTGGGGGAAGGTTGGAAGCAGGGGCTTGATCTGCATGAAAACATTACCAAAAACATACTACCAGTTTACTTTGCTAGGCTCCTTGCCATGGCAGTTCCATTGAGGTCTCTACCTGCTCCTTTATCTGTTGCACTAAGATTTCAAACCTTCTAAAGAGAACATGCTGTCTTTCCTCACTGAAGCTCAGGCATTAGAAGTAAGCCTTATTTTTGTCTTGCTAGCCTCTTAAAGTTAAGTGGTTATTAATAGTAGATTATAAGCAAGATAAATAGGTAATGAACAGCAGCCTGCTTCCACTAGAACAATTTCAACGCAGACTTATACCCAGACCATTTCAACAGGTTGGTCCTGTTTAGCTACAGTTCAAACAGAAAAAAAAAAGAAAGAAACACGCTATGCACGTACACGGCTTGAGTACTGAGATAGCAATTCGGCACTTCGCTTTTGCTATTGTGAAAGAAATAATTTAAAAATATATATATATCCAAGAGATATTATTGAAGCAGTTGCTGTCCTTTAAGAGTAAAGAAGTTCTGCCAAGACTTCAGAGTTCCGGGCTCACGGTCATCCACGCGTTCTGCCAGCAGCTGATTCCGGCAGTAGGCTCGCAGCCCCGCGCCCTCCCGTACCGCTCCGGGCGGGGCCGGGACGCTCAGCCCGCACAACCGCGGCTTCTCCCTACAGCGCGGAGCGGGCACGCAGCAGGTGCCGGCAAGCCTGCCCCGCCGCCCGCCGCTCGCCATCATGGCTGCGCTCGCTTTCCTCGCTGCCCACGCAGCCCCCGCCCGACTCTCCGCGACGCGGGGCCTCGTAGAATCGGAGCGTGAAGCCGCGCCCCAGCTCCGCGCACGACCGGCGGCGGCGCCGCCCAACTTCGCGCCGAGTTGCGTGCGAGCCGGGCCCCGCTCCTCCGGCGGCTCCCCACGACGCCGCCGCCACCCCGCGCGCAGCCTGACTCACGGCAGCGAGGAACGGGGGGAGGAGCGGGGCGTCCGCAAGCGGGCGGCGGCTCCGCCCGGCCCGGAGCATAGCGTGCGCTGCCGTCAACCCTCCTCCCGCAGCGAGGCGAGCGCGAAGCCGCCACGCGATACCACCCTACCCGCCCAGCACCCACCGAGCACTTTCTTCTCCGTCTCCCCTGCGGCGGCGGTAGCGGCGGTAGCGGCCGCGGAGCCGGACGCGGCGGGTGCCACCTCGCCGCCCGATGCTCCCGGCGCGGCGCCGCTGACGGGGCTCTTGGGCTTGACGTCCGGAGGGGCGGCAGCAGGGGGCGGCGGTGGCGCGGGGGCAGCTGCGGCGGGCGCCGTGCCGCTAGCGGTGCTGGTCTCCGCCGCCTCGCTCATACTGGTTGGCAGCAGGACGGGTGCGCGGCGCTGAGCAGCTGTTCCTCGGGCCCGCGCTGGGTCTTACTGCCCCTAAAATGGCCCCGCCGAAGTTTTAACACAGTCAGCGGGGGCCGGCGCCGGGACTTGCGCCGCCTTATTAGCATTTAAAGGGGCCGCACCGTGGTCGCGGCTGGACCGCGTGAGCGGGGGACGGCGTGGGGATCGGCCTCGGTGAGGTGAGGGGCGCGCATGGGAGCGGTACGCGCGTGAATGTGGCCGTGCGGTGTACAGGTGGCCGTGTGTGCACGCACGAGTGCGGCTGTGGGTACGCGAGCGTGTGCGTGTGGAGCTGAGCGGAGGGGAGCTGAGCTGAGCTGAGCTGAGCTGAGCACCGCGCGTGTATGCCCGTCCGTATCTGTGGGTACCTGCAAGAATCCCTCTGTGCGTGGGGTTGTGTATAGATACATACGCACACGCGACTGCAGTCGAGAGTCCGAGATGTCAGTAGGCGCGTGGCCGTGTGTTGCTGCTTGCTCCCACGCGTGTGCAGACAAACGTGCTCTGGCGGCGGTGTCTGTGAGCACGGCTGCGCACATCTGCCCCGTGCCCTGTATGGGCAGAACGGCTCGTTTTGGACGGGAGTTCGTGTGCTCTCCGTTGGGAACAAACGGCTCGATGAGGTGAGCCTAAGTGTGCGTGCGCGTTGGTTTTGTTGCCCCTGTTTCTTTCCATGCTGCTATTTCCTTACCCGTGGTGTAATCTGCAACCCCTCGAACTTATTTTCATCCCACTGCCGCCTCTTTCCCTTGCAGTTGTGCTTCTAGCTCTCTCACCTTCCTTCCTGCCTTGACTTTTTTTCCTGCTCCTCCCAGTTTTTGAACAGCCTCCTTAAGTGGCCTTTTGATGATGTTTCTGCTCAGAGAGCACTTTTGCAGTTTGCAGCATAGCCATTGTTCGTTATTCCCTCTGCCTTGAATCTTTCATTCCCTACGAGGTAGGGAACATCTGTTCACACATCATGCACCTCTGTCTTCTCCACTTTCTTCAAGTTCAGCTTTGCTACTCTGTATTCATGAATGCTCAAAGAACATGGGGTCACGTTTGTTTCTCCCTTTGTGTCCCACTTCTTGACAATCAGTTGATAGTTTTCATAATAAAAATAAAGGTCTTTGAAGGAGCTGAATATCACTATCAGCAATACCAACATTGACTCCAAGAAAGTCTCAGGTGTTCCTTGGCAAGGCACTTCTTAGGTCCAAACTTTTTAGCACATTGAGGCCTCATTGAGTGAAGAGGAATTGTCTTGGACTGCATATAATGTATGTAAGTAACAAAACTCCTTTTATTTTTTACTGAAACATTTTGAAAAGGAAAACAACAAAACAAAACTAGTGGGATATTTGACCTTGGTTTTGTGAAACTAATGCATCAGTGTCTGGTTCAATGGAAGCAGTTGCAATTCTCAATGAGTTCTTGAGGTGTTCATCAAAGATTTTTGATGAAATTTTGTGCTTCCTGCATTTCAGCCTTGACAACAGTTGTTGACAGATGTACATACTGCCAAAAAGTGATGACATGAATAAGGTGTGATTGTGAAGTGAGAGATATTTTACAACTGATAAGGCGGGTCTGATCAAAGTTTACTTCATCAAATTTTTGACTTGAATATCTGATTGCAACTCTATACGTTCCACTAAAAAAATTGCAGGCAATGTACATCAACTGAAAATGGAGTTGTGCATATACCAAAAAAATGATGATTTTTTTTGGCATCTTGAAATCTATTCTCAAATTCTGTTATCAAAACAGAAAGCATGGCTGCATATTCACTGTTTATAGAACTGTGTTCAACCAATGTCTCAAAATGCATAAAATGTGCCAGAACTTGAGCTTGCCAGCATTTAATATTCATCAATATATTATATTCAATATATTCATCAATATATTATATTCAATCGAAACCATGTTGTAAACACCAGCTCTGCAACCAGTTGTTGATATAGTCCCTTCCTCCTCCTCACACTGTTTTCCCTCTTTGGCAGGATGGAGGATCACCAAGTCCTTGACCATCACCTCAAAATGAACAGATGATGCATTTTTATGGAAAAGAACCCCTAGACATTTCTAAAAATTATTTTCAGGCCACTCTTTCTTAATTCATAGGTCCATAGCACATCAACATCTTTTTAACACTGTAAGTTGGGGAAATGTCAAGCTAACGCATGTAGTTTTAGTTGCTCCTAATTTGACCAAACTGTAATGGCTTGGACTGGACTGAAATTCATAATTTTTGTGTGAAAAGTTAAGCAGAAGATACTCAGCTCTGAAAATAAGGTGAGGTTAAAATACTTTGCTTTCTCTCATTTTAAATTGATGTAAGGCTTATCTTTGTAAGTTACAGTGACTCCGCGTTTTTGAATGGAAAGTTGAAATTTAGCTGTGTTAGGGGTACTTATTTTATATTTCCTACATGAGAGGAAAACAAAATCAATCAGATTATTAGCAATTAAATTTCTCCAGGTAGTTGTCTTCTGAAAAGCCACTTAGAACATGATCAGTAGCAACTTGTGGAGTTGAGCTGAAAAATTGCCTGAAGCTGCTGTGTGGAGGTGCACTGACTATGCTGTCTGAATTCTATGTCAATCATGCAAGATCATTGTAGGACACTCTGGTGGGTCATCTACAGCTGAGCAGGTCATTCTTACAGTTGCAGTTCCTGTGCGTCACTGTGGTACCATCACCAGTTTTTGGAGCTAGAATACTATTCCTTTTACATGCCTCGTGATGACCAGGTTACAATAAAAGCAAAAGGTGGATAGGGAGCATAGGCTCCAGGGCTTGAAGAACAGGGCTTGCCAGGGACTGAAACATCCAGGATGATGTTTGTCAGCAGGAGATGAAATACCAAGGCAGCAGCCAAGAGAAAACAAAGGCTTAGAGATCAGAGGGAAAGAACTGGCAGCAAACAAAAAGAGATGGAGGAACTAAGAAAGAGTAAGGAGGAGTGAACGTGATGAGTTGATGATGAATAAGTCAGGGAAGAAGAAGGAGCACCCTTCTAAGTATTTGGGATGCTGCAGATTCAGTTACCACCTTGGGGCAGCCCACCAGCCTGGTTTAGTGTCCTGTGTGCTTTGCCTGCCATTGGTTCAGATCCTCAAGTGGAAGCTTTGTGAGTTGAAGCACTGGAGATCCAGACTCTGCTTCCCACACATTGTAGTCAGAGTGGCTGTGTGGGACAAAAGTGCTATTCCCCAGTATATTCAGGTTTTACTCTCAGAAGGGAACTGAAACACATTTTACAAAAGACACTGAAGCTGCAAAATTATGTAAGGAAAAGTTAAGAAATGCTAGAACTGAGATTACTTTTAAGCTTGAAGATCAGCTCCCCTTTGTGTAGGGATAATTATACATTTCTTAATTAGATGATCACACCTTCCTCTTCTCTCAGAATCCTGCCTTTTTCAGCAAGTGAGCTTTCAGTGATCCCTTTCAGCCTCCTCACTAAATGTGCAGATCAAGCTATTATTTAATGCATATTATATAACCCTTAGAATAGATGCAGAATTTACTGGGGTCGCTTCAATTTAACATCTTTATTAACAATCTTGACAAGGGGATTGAGTGCGCTCTCGGTAAGTTTTAGACAACAAGATGGGAGGTGTTGGTCTGTCAGAGGGGAGAAAGGCACTGCAGAGGGACCTGGATAGACTGGATCAACGGGCCAAGTTAAACTGTATGAGTTTCAATAGGGCCAAGTGTTCCATCCTGCGTTTTGGTCACAACAATACCAGGCAACCCTACAGGCTTGGGGAGGAGTGGCTGGAAGTGACGGAAAGGGACCTTGATGTACTGATGGACAGTCAGCTGAATACGAGCCAGCAGTGTGCCCAGGTGGCCAAGAAGGCCAATGGCAGCCTGGCTGGTATCAGGAATGGAATGGTGAGCAGGACTAGGGAAGTCATCCTGCGCTGTACTTGGACCTGGTGAGGCTTCACCTCGAGTACTGAGAAGGGACATGGAAGTGCTGGAGCAGGTCCAAAGAAGGGCAACAAGGCTTGAGAAGGGCTTGGAGAATATGGCCTATGAGGAGTGACTGAAGGAACTGGGGATGTTTAGTCTGGGGAAGAGAAGGCTAAGGGAAGACAGTATTGCTCTCTTCCAATAACTGCAAGGTGCTGACAGTGAGAGTGGGGTTGGTTTCTTCTCACTGGTGACAGGACGAGGGAAATGGCCTCAGGTTGCACCAGGGTAAGTGTAGGTTGAATATCAGGAAACATTTCTTTACAGAAAGGGTTGTTAAGCACTGGAATAGGCTCCCCAGGGAGGTGGTTGAGTCACCATCCCTGAAAAATGTGTTTAAAAACTGCTTGAATGTGGTGCTCAGGGACATGATTTAGCAGAGGGTTGTTACAGTTAGGGTAGTACGATTAGGTTGTGGTTGGACTTGATGATCTTCAAGGTCTTTTCCATCCTGAGCAATTCCATGATTCTATGATTCTGTGATTCTACTTGTACCTTCCTTTGGGATCCTGCAGGGCTTTTACTGCTATGTATCCATGGTTCTCAGGAATTATTGAATGCATTTTAACCACCATTCTGGAAATGGGGAGCTGAGGCAAAAAGAGACTATTGCTACTTTTTTCAACTATCTGCTGATTCTGGGTAATTGCTTGAACACATATTTGTTTCTTTTCCAAGTCACTTGCTGTTTCTACAGTTTGGGTGGGATATGAAACACCTGCATGAGGCTGGGACATGTGGAACAGGAACAGAGGAGATCCATACCTTCAGATGGAGGCTAGGCAAGATACCCTAAAGCACAAGTGTCATTATGCACTGAATGACGTATATTGTTTATACAAAGCAGAGTTTTGGCTGCACCAGGAAGCACACAGGCTGAGGAGAGCAGGGTAGCCCCTAGGTATGCTGAGGAAAGGTTGTTTTACATCCTGACTCCAGGGATGGTTGCTTTTGCAGATCCTGAGTGACTGATGTCTTGCTGCCATGTCAGGCTGGAAGCCCGTCTTTCTTGTTGAGTTTGGCATTGAACCCCACCTTTTCTCTTGCTCTTTCACACTGTTGAGCATAGATTCATTGTGTGCAGTGAGTTCCTCTCCTCAAGTCACTGACTCTTCCAGTGCTCCATGTGAGCTCCTCGGGGAACTGCACTCCATGTTTTGGATCCCTCAGGTACCTGCATTTGATTAGAAAATACTTTGTGATTTTTATGACCAATACTACACTTTTCCCACAGGGCTCTGTTTCATTATTGTTGCCTCTCAAGTCCTATCATAACCTGAAAGTCTGTGATTGCATTCCTTTGTACAGAACTTGCTTACTCCGTGCTAGCTGTGGAAAAGGTACAGCTTTAAACATAAATAATAAAAGAGATTAAAAAATCATAATTTCTTCAAAAAAAAAAAAAAAAAAAAGATTTTAAACCAATCTGAGTGATTTTTGAGTTATGAGAATTTATAGAGGTGTGACATAAGAATTCTAGATCAGATAGATAGAGTCTGCTTGATGATTTATAAAGATAAATACCATTTTCCACTTACAAAGTAGCTTTTTAGGGGCCACTGTTTCTACTGAGGAGTTGAAGAGGAAAATGGGAGTTCTGAAGGTTTTGCATAGTATGTGGTATACAGATCAAGCTAACAAGTTTTGTAATGAGAAAATGCAATGTTAAATGAAACTGAAATATCTGAAGATATAAAATAACTTCTGTAATGTATTTCTTGGAAAAAGATTAAATAACTTTCAATAAAGTGGAATCGTTTTGTTTCAGCAGTTGCAGAAAGTAGTATTTAAATACAGCTTATCCAAATGATTTCATGAACAGAAATTATTTTCTGTAATACAAATAAAAAAAGATATTCTTTTAATAGTAAGCTGTATTTTTCTGAGGGCATGTTTCATAAAATTAAGAAATTAAGAAATATCCCTTTTTCTTCCAGTTTTGGAAAATAAAGACATTCAAAGCTGAAGAACTGACTTTAAAATGGAAAACATCCATCTTCCCTGGTCTAGTTGGAAATGTAAGAGACTACTTGTGCTTTAAACATGAATTTAAACCACAGATTCAAGATAGAATTTGTCCTACAGTATGCTCTTACACACATGCTAGCATATTTAGGACCTTATGTTCACTACAGCTGGTACATGTGTTGATGTTGTCCTAATATTGGTAATACAATCATCTGCCACAGGCAAGTCATTTAAACTCTTCTCTTTACCTTCCATATGGAAAATTTAAGGTTATGGCATTCATGTGACAACAACAATTAAAATGCAAGGTTTGATCTACTGAGTCAGTGAAAGAATGAATTGTGATTAAGCCTGAAGTGTATGATAGGATCTAAAATGTATAGAATTGATGTACTGATCTTAATTACTTTTACATCACAATTTTCTGTTACCAACAGAAATTTGAGAAGTATTTTTTAAATACAATACCTAGTATTGATTTGAAGTCAGTTTGTTGACGTTTTACAAAATCCAGCCACTTTGGCTTTGTGGTATCTTGGTGTTCTGTTTTTTTTTTTTGGGAGGGAGGAGTGATGTTGTTGTTTTATTTGTTTATTATTGAAGACTTCTATTAAGAAAAAGTACCTCACACTGACTTTATTGTAAAATATTGATAGCTTGTAAGTCCTTTAATCTAGAAGGAGTCAGAACAGTTTATAGATTAAATATCTGCAGGACACAGCAGATGAAAGCAAAATGCTGCTCCACCAGCCTGTGTTCAGAATACACATTATTTTTAGTAATGATGTAGGAGAGAAACAGAGAATCTAATCTAACAAATATTCTACATTGAAGCTATGGTAGTCTCTCTTGGAAATATATATATATAATAGGTAGGAAAGCAAAAGACTCCAGCAGTCATTTTGATTGATCTTCGTGTTGCCCTGTAAGAATCTCCAAACCCACTCTGAGAAACTTGATACTGAACATGGGACTTCTTTTTTTTTCAGTAGACAATTTATCTGAGAATACAGTGAAATTGGATTGCATTCATCAATGTATTTACCCAAAATAAAATTAACAAAGTACGCAAAAATGTTAAAGAATTCATTTGAATGTGCTAAATGATTGTGTTGGTAGTCTACATACCATTACGCTGCTTCAGCACGGCAAATGAAGAACAGTCCATCACAGAACAGCCCTCAGCTTCACACTGTGCTAGGAAGTGTTGTATCAAAGGGCTGATGTGTTCTACCAGAAGATGTAGTTAAAATTTGGTTGCAGTATCTGAGAATTATTGCCTGTAAATAATGTTGGATACATCCAGATGGAGGGACTTAAATGGGCTGTTAGTATTTCCAGCAGGCCTTGTGTGTAACAAAATGCAGGAAAGCTTATGAGCAATGTCATTTTGACTATTTGGATAGCTCTGAAATACCAAGAACCTGATTGCAGGCCAGAGTTGAAAGACATGCACTTGAGAAAAAGCTGCTGCTTCTAGAGAATAAGAGTTTCTTTGCTAAGAGATCAAGGATCAGACCAATGGTCTGCAAAGGCTGCGGAAAATTCTCTGTTGACAAACTTACATCTAAAAAACTTTGATCAATTCCCAAGTCTGTCAAAAACTGGATAGTTGACAAGGCTAAAATATAATACTGTACTGCCATGCCAGTATGCCTTTTAATGAAGAAACTGAGGAAGAAATTTAGCACAAGCTTGCTAGAGTTGTTCTCAGGCTCACTTGGTGCCCAGGATGCCTCTGTTGACTCATGGCTCTCACCCAGCTTCCCTGCTTTGTACTATCCTTCAGAAGAGAGCTCTGCTCAATGCAGAGGCTTATATTCCAGGATAATTCATACCCTTCTCTACAGTGTAATATTTTCAAACTATGTTGAAAAAAGTGCAAGCATTAGTGTGCACAGACTAAAGAAGCCTCTGTGTTAATCTTCTAGTAGTAGAACCTTAAAGCCAGCTGAACTGCACATACATCCACTGAACCTTCTTGTGTGTCTTTGGCTCCTTTCTAAGCTACTAAGTACAGCTAACACAGGGAAAGCCTGTTCCCCTACCTGTGACTTCCAGCATCTTGTCTTTGCCGCAGGCACAGAACCCATCCTTTCCTTCTGCCCTACCTAAATCTGCATTGGCTTCCTCCTCCATTCCTTTTCTCTGGATGCTCCCTTTTATCACTTATCCAGCCAAGACTTCATGCAGTGTCACATGGATTAATGTTACATAAAGTGAATTCACAATAGAACGTCACAGAATTACAGAATCACAGAATGACAGAAGGACGGTCTTCATCAAGGTGAGGAATCTGTTCACTCAAGCACTGAACTGTGAGGCGACAGTCATGCTGATTTGTTTCCATATTTTTTTATTTATTTACCATTTTAAAAACACTGGATGAATGCCAGCTGTTGGCTCTGTATGAAGGAACAAGGTGTCCACAGACTTGAGCTCTGTGATTCTCCTCTAGATGGGCTGCTCTTCAGAGATAACTTTTCTCTTATTTCTCTGAGCCAGGTCCCAGTAATGATAACAAGTACAGAAATATCATATCTACTTACTTGAAAAGTAGCTTAGCTCTTAGCAAGAATATTTGTCATCTATGAAACTTTAAGAGGCTGGAAAACTGTAGTGGTTTTCTTATTTTTGTGTAATTTCAGAGGTACATTTTTGTTCACATTTTGAAAATAAACATTTCACAGTAATTTCTACCTGTCAAAATTTTTTTTTTTTTTTGCCAGAGATACCATTCAGTGTCTGTGCTTAAAAGCTAACAGTGAATCAAAGTGATTTAAGTGGGAAAGAAAGACAAACCTCCTAAGTAAAGCAGAAATGATTTGTATTAAAACTTGTAGCTCTTACATACATACAGCAAAAGAGAGATGTTTAAGGGCCAACAGTGAGTCTTTCAGTCATAGCCAATAGATGGCAGTAAAAGTCGAGGAATAATGAAGATTAAACCTGTAATCCAGAAATGTCTTATGGATTCTTATTTCTATGCAGGGATTTTACTGCTGTCCTGGTATGCTACTGTTTTCAGTTAGATCCAGAAGACTGCATTGCATGGTTTCTTTCCTTCTAAGCTATTTTTCCTTATGGTTAGTATCTTTCTCCTTAGGTTTTTTTGGATGCAGAGGAAACCTCAACATGTCTGTACAATAAATTTAACAATTTAGCTCCACAGACAAGACTCCCTGTAGGAATGTTGCAAGCACAATGACCAGCTTATAGATAGAATCACCCACAAACTGCTGAAACTCAGCTTCCCCTCAAAGGCCCAGTAACTAGTAGGTGTGGTCCATCAACTGAACAACAGCTCATGGAGAAAGTGAAGACTACAGCCTGCTGACGTACAGATAGCCAGTGGAAGCAACTGGGAGCCCATTTGTCCACAGTAATGTCTGGTCAGCGTTTGGATTAGCAAATTGAGTATAGCAAAGAAAAATAATCCCAGGACCTTAAACAAGTGCAGTGGTCAAAGCCCAGGCTGTGCATTTTATACAAAGCAAAGCCTTGTGCAGCAGACTACTGCATAGGCATGCATTGTGTGAACTGAATGAAACACTCAGCACTGTAGCTTGTGCTGGTTACGGTGTCACTCTGCAATAGCTGAGCCCTTCCCACCTGGGCATTAAGGGACATGACTATCTTCTACCATAGCAAGAGGGGTGAAACATAGGTGTATAAACCTGGAGAGAATCCTGGGTCCCTGCTGTTCTACCCTGAGTTTGCAGGTATTCTCACCACATTACACCTCTGGAAGATTTAACACACTGCACCCTTAAACTAGTTTGTTTACCTCCTCCCCAGAATGTCCTTTAATTACCACCTATAGTGTTTCATATTACTGTGCTGCACTCTGCTCCAGCTATGACATATAATCATATAAACTGCAAGGAACATGATATAATTATGCTAATACAATATAGAAAATACAGAATTAATGACATCTAAATCTGAATAATAAGATGTGCAGTTCAGATTGAAAGCAGTTTGACATCTTTTCACATCTTTTCCAATAAGAGAAAAATTAATTCAGAGTGCTTCAAAATATGAACATTTTTTGACAGGTAAAACTTTTCAGATAAACTTTTCCAATGAAAATAGAAGCATTCATTCCACAGAAAAGTTTTCTCAGGGGAAAGCCATTTAATCACAAGCTATATATAACACAGGAAATAGCATTCTTTGTTGAATCACTAGCTACTGCAAAGACTCCTGAGTTTTCTGTAGTGGTCCTGTCCCTGCTGAGAGTGAGAGATTCCTCATGTCCATGGCCCTACAAAGGTTTAAGTAAAACCTACTTTACACACACTGTGGAAGGCTGAATTTAATTTAATGACTTCAGCCCAAAATCCAGAGGGATACATGTTCTCTGAAGACACTTCCAGAAGATACTTTGGTAAGTACCAATTTGTTTGAATTTCTCCTTGAAATGTACTTTTTATTGTTCCTTTTCCTTTCCTTTTCACAACCATCTCCATTTTAAAGCACAGAAAAATATATGTGGGAGAAAGGTCATCTAGTTCAACTCCCTGCTTAAAGTGGGGCAAACTTCAAAGTTTGATCAAGTCACATAGATTTTCTTGTAGAGCTGAGAAATCTAATACAATTCTGTAAGTCAACTGAAAAGCTCATAGAATGGCAAGGAAATTGTCGTTTATTCAAGGCAGAGCTGAAGGCATTCAGTGAAATGCCATTATTAATACAGTTACTTGTTCCCATTTCAGCCTCTGCAAAGAACCAGCATAAACTACACATGATTCCCCTTCCTGTTTTGTTTAAACAGGACTATGAGTTTACATCAAGCTTATATGAGTTAGAGTGTATGCAGCAGTAATGCACTGAGACACCTAGACAGATCTTTATTGATGGTAATAATTCCTTTCTTGTTTAGTGCCATGACAGCTGCTAGCAAGTTCTGATCGCTGCCTGGTGAGGAGGTGGTTTTGTCTTGCCAAGTACTTTCTGCAGTTAAATCTGGAGGTCAGTAGTCCTCTAGAAGAGTGTTAAAACTGAATACCAAATTAAGGAGTGAATCACAGGGGAACTCTTGTGGAGTTAAATTACACCTACCTGAGGGTGTTGAGAGAGCTGGTGGAGATGATTGCCAAGCCACTTTACACCACCAGTATTCCTAGTCAACCAGAGGGGTCCCTGGGGATTGGAGGCTTGCCAGCGTGACTCTCATCTACAGGAAGGATTATAAGGAGTATTTGGAGAACTACAGGCCTTTCATCTTGACCTTGGTGTCAGGGAAGGGTATGGAACAGATCATCTTGAGTGAGATCACACAGCATGTGCAGAACAACTGAAAGATCAGGCCCAGCCAGCATGGGCTGATGAAAAGTAAGTCCTGCTTGACCAACCTGATCTTCTATGATAAAAGACCCACTTGGTGGATAAGAGAAAGGCTGCTGATGAAGTCTACCTAGACTTCAGCAAACCCTTTGAAAATTTCTCTCACAGTATTTTCCTGGAGAAGCTGGCAGCCTGTGGCTTGGACAGGTACACTGCTAGGTGGGTAAAAAACTGTCTGGATGACAAAACCCAGAGAGTAGTGGTGAATGGAGTTAAATCCAAACTGCAAGCAGTCATGAGTGGTGTTCCCCAGGGGTTGGTACTGAGACCAGTCCCGTTTAATGTCTTGATTGATGGTTTGGATGAGGGAGTTGAGTGAACTCTCAGTAAGTCTGCAGACAACACCAAGTTGGGAGGAAGTGTCAATCTGCCTGAGGATACAAAGGCCCTACAGAGGAACCTGGCCAGGTTGGATCAATGGGCTGAGGTCAGTGGGGTGAAATTCAAGATCAAGTGTCATGTCCTGCACTTTGTCCACAGAATCCCCAGGCAATGATATAGGCTTGGGGCAGAGTGGCTGGAAGACTATGTGCAGGAAGTGGACCTGGGGGTGTTGGTTGATGCTTGTCTGAACATGAACCAGCAGTGTGCCCAGATAGCCAAGAAGGCCAATAAGCATCCTGGCTTGTATGAAAAACAGTGTAGTCAGAAGGACCTGGGAAGTGATTGTCTCTCTGTACTCAGCTCTGATGAGGCTGCACCTCAAGTACTGTGTTCAGTTTTGGGCCCCTCGCTACAAGAAAGGTATTGAGACCCCAGTGTGTGTCTAGAGAAGGGCAATAAAGCTGGTGAGGGGTCTGGAGCACAACTCTTATGAGGAGTGGCTCAGGGACCTGGGATTGTTTAGTGAGGAGAAGAGGAGGCTAAGGGGAGACCTTATGGCTTTCTCCATCTCTTTGAAAAGAGGTTGTGGTGAGGTGGGGATTGGCTTCTTATCCCATGTAACAGTGATAGGATGAAGCTGTGTCAGGGGAAGTTCAGGTTGAATATTGGGAAAAATTTCTTCTCAGAAAGAGTGATCAGGTGCTGGAATGGGCTGCCCAGGGAGGTAGTTGAGTCACTGTACCTGGAGGTGTTCAAGAAACATTTAGATGTGGTACTGAGGAACATGGTTTAATGGGGAAATATTAATGTTGCATGTGGACTGTTAGACTAGATGATCTTGGAGGTCTTTTCCAACCTCAGGGATCCTATGATACAAAGTTTGTGTTTGAATAAAATCTGCCTGGGGATAGTTTGATAAAGCTGTGATAGCAATACCTTGGACAAGCCTTATGGTTGCAGAAAAGACTTGACAGCTATAAGGAACAGATTTAGAAACCTCCTGGAGCTAATCTACATTTTTATGTAAACGGAATGAACTTCCTCAGACAAAGAGCCAATTCAAATATTCTGAGTTCTGCAGGCAAAGTCATATTTTGTTGTCTTAGAATAAAGTGCAAGAACCAGACTGTTCCTGACTTTGGATGTGGAATGTGGGAGGGAAAGGTAAGGGATAGAGTGCACCAGGGCTGTACTTGCTCATCTGACTAGGGAGAATGACACCTGCTTCCCACTGGCACAATCCTGTCAGCAGCAACTCCCAAGCCATCCTTCATGGAAAGCAGCAGCAAGCCTGTTTTTTCTGTGCTGCTCCTGGATACTTACTCCCTCAGTATGTTTATCTTTGCTTGGGACTAGGACTGCTTCTGTGCATACAGAATACGTGTTGTCAGCATCTGCATGTAGTAAATGCTTCACCTGTTTTACTTTAGTGCTTGTCTCCTCTGAGAGAATGATTTCAGTGTGGCTGGAAAACAGCAAGGTATGGGATTAATAAAGTAGGGTATTCTCTATGCAAGAGGTACAGGACCATCTCATGTACATCTAGCCTTCCCGCTGCAAGCTTCATGAGTAGCAAGGCTGTTCCTCCAGCAAACACCAGCAGCCAGAATGAGAGCTAATAAAATAGAATGGTGGGATTCTTTCACCACCAGCTTTAGCCAGAGGCTCCATGGCTGTCCTGCCAAGAGCGTCAGTCCCAAGGACTTCAGGGAAGGCTGCTGCTCCTGTGGGGCTGCAATTCTCCGTATTAATTTCTCATATCATGGTATTTTCATCAAGATTTACTTGAAGAAGGTGGTTTCAAATTGTTCTTTTTCAAAAGAAGACACAGGGATCACATTAAGAACCATTTTGTTGATCTCTGAAAAAATGTGGATAGGTCCAGTTGCTTGAATACAGCCATGTACTTCATCTGGGATGACCGCTATTTCTAAGACACCTGTATGGAACTGGCAGATATTTCAAAGGATCTACAGGAGGCCTTTTCCTTCTGTGAGGGCAGACAGAAGCAAGAAGGAACACTTGTGTTGTACAAGATGGCTCTAGATATTAATATTTAGGCACCCCACTGGTAAACGGTATATGACTTTTCCATTTCTTCAGGGTAATGTCTTCAGGAATCAGTTTGCTAATTTCAGAAATAAACTGTTTTGCAGTAATCCAGTCTCAGCAGGCTTTGTGCTCAGCCCTATTGCTGCTTCTAACCTCCATCTAGCTTCAACCTTGCAGCACCTTAAAGCAGCCACCCAGTCATGATTACTGTCTCTCTGGCCACCACTGAATAGCCATGTTAAAATGGCCACCTAGAAGGCTGAGAGTTGGATTGTAAGCCTGGGAGCTTATTGCTTTATACTTCAGGCATCTATAAGAACCTGATTAACTGTTCTGGGCTGTCTGTCCCTTTGCTGCAGCCATGACTGAAGTGAAGTTGCTAAGTTCTCAGTGATATAGGTAGAGAAGACCTAGAGGGAAAATAAAAGGGCCGGAAACAAGTTTTTGCATCTACCAAACCGCACTGTGTCCTAAAACTATATTTATCAGATGACTATTCCATACTGACTCATCCCATTACTCAGCTTCTGACACATGCCTAGGAACTGACAGGAAAAATATCTACCTATGTGTCTTCCAACCCACTGTTCTCCTTCCTATAATGCAAACAAACTTTCTTTTTAACAAGACCCAATGACACACATGCAACCTGTCATCACAACACAGAGGTATGTTCCACTGACTCTTTAGGTAACTAGGATATTCTGAAATTTTCTTAAAATTGAAGTCAACATGAGTGACACTGCTATAATCTGGAATAGCTGGACTTCTGTAGCACAGCTAATCTGGTCCTAAGCCAGAGCACAACAACAACAGGTCAAAACAGTAATTTCAATTTCATGTATGTTCTGGCTGTATGTTAGTGTTAGAAATAGGGATTGTGCTGAGAGGAAATGGGAGATATCTCAGAGTCTGAAAGTGGTTTGGCAAAATTATCTCATGTTCAGTAAAACCATACTTGAATAGTCTTCTTCCTTGTAGCAGATCTACCTGTAGACTTGCTCCCTCCTCATTGGTTCACTCTCATTTTGAAAGAGCACAAATAATATGCTCGCTAATTGAAATTCATACACTGTGAATTTCTCAGCCTGATATTCCTGACTATCAGCTAGTTCAGTTGAATATTCCCCAAGATACTGTTTTTCATGTTACTTAATGCTAGGTCTCTGTAGATTATAGCTGCCTTCCTATCACCAAAGTATTATGGAATTGCTTTCACTGATAAATCCTTTTCACTATGATTTTTAAGTATATGCTATCACTGTTATACAGCTCTTTGTAAAAAGTCTGCATAAATATTCTCTTCCTTTATCCACAGACTCCAGGTATAGACATTTGAAATAGGAAATAATTGCCTACTTCACTCCCTTGTCATCTTTACATAATGGATCACCTTCTTCAGCAGTTCCTGAATACCTCAACCTACAGGGATCCTCTACGTACCACAATTCTCTTTCACTAAAGTTCTTTTCACTTTATATGCCTTCTGGCAGCTACAATCTACTAAACTTTGGGTAGTATCACTCATATGCTAGGATTTTGGACTACACAGGATTTTTTTCCTCTCAGGTAAATTGAGAAAAAAAAAATTATATGTATATGCTTCAGCCTCAGTTTATAAACACTCTGCCTGGCAATACTCCTCAGACTAACCAGTGAGATTAGTACTTGATTCCTGTGAGGCCTGAGAGCAAACTAATAAACTATGGGTTCAGTAAAGTACTATTCCTAAATGTATTATCCTTCTACCTCATGACTTACCATATTTGTTGTGTTTAGAAGGTTTAGTTGTTGTGGTTAGAGATGGTTGAGTACATCTCTGTGACAAATGAAGAATATTTTCCTTTTTTTTTTCCCCCCCACTAATTACTATTGTTCAGTTTGATTCTTTTTGTCTTGACTGACTTCTGGTTCTTAGAATCCATGGGAAATTCAGGAACTAGAGTCAGGATCAGAAAAAGTGGCAGACATCCTGCTTATCACCAATTTCATTTCACATGCTGCAGTCTTGGTTTACGGAAGTGTCACTGGCTTAAGCAGGATCAGATGTACCTTGTAAAATCTTCTCAAACAGAATACTGCCAACTGTCAGTTCTACCTGGTTGGCCAAATGAGAATCATGAAGTAACAAGGACTGATTTTATGAGAAGGTCACAATATAATTCATCTCCTTGGGAATGACTCTGCAATAGTTTCGGTTTAAATTTTTTTTTTTCTTTGTTTGTTTGCTTTTTTCACTGGAAATGAAA